TTTTTTTTTTTTTTTAGATTATTTGCAAGATATTTTGTAATTATAATTCATAATAATAAAAGATGATGCTGTCATTTGGCTTTTGTAAGTATATGTCAAGTCACTTTTGTGTAATTAAATATTGAACATGCAAATACCTTTAGGTGTTGTGCCAAAAATTCTTATCACAGGAACATGTTTTATTTCACATCCTCGAAAATCAGAATAAGAAACATCAAGGCCTTCCAAGGGAGTTGACAGATAATGATCGACCGTAACAATTCGAAGCGAAAACATAATAGATTTTTTGTAATCTTTCTCTGCAATCTGTAAAATGATATACAATTTAAACAATTTATATATAAAATACATATATTATAAACATTTTATATTTATATGATAAAAATTATATCTAAAATAATAAGAGTATCAAATTATAGTAGTAACAATTATATTTTATGCTTAAAAGCCAGAAAATTTTAATAATTATTTTTAGTTAATATTTCTTCTTCATGCAATCCTTAATAAAAATAAAATATTAAGTAGAAGCTTAAATCACTGGTTTAATTCAAAGTTTGTTATAATTACTGTAGTTGTCTACTAGTTTAATATTGAAATGCTCCAGTGATTTAAACTCAGTTTGGAAATAAAATCCTTGCCTAGCTTTGTGTTAAAATATAAAGGTTTCGATAAAAACATATAAGTATAAAATACCCGACCACGCAATGTTTAAAAAATATTTTAAATGTATGTTCTATTTGATGAACAATTCATATTTTATAATTTATGATATCATGATTCTGAAATAAAATTATACTGATATAATAACTAAAAACATATTTAAAATTTTAAAATGTTCTTTTGCTTAATAGCTTTCATTTCATGTTAGTACACTTTCTTTATAGAGTAGACTTGCGATTATCCCGCTTAATTTGATACAGCCAAGTCTGATAACATGGAGATTAAAGATAAAGCACTGACTGTGCAGTCAAGAATGTTAATGCATCCCGTATGTGGTTTATTTTTCAGTTGTAATTTTTATGTAGACACAATAATGTTTCGATACAAAATTTTGGGCAAAAGGGCAGTAAGATGTCTGCAATTACCACGATGCATTATTCGTGGAATAACCGTATGTTTTATGAAAACATTTGCAATTGTATTTTTACACATTATTATTTAATAATGCTGTACTGTAATAAAAAGTATAAAATAATTATAAAAATTTTTTTTGTTTATTTATAACTTGTACTTTCTATTCATATAGAAAAACTTTAAACACGGCCATCAAGCTGGATAATCACAAATCTACTGTATTACAAAACAATCTCATTTAATCAAATTCCTTAGAAACTTAATTACAATGGTTAGTTTGATTTTACATTAACTTAAAAAAGCAAATAATACACTTTTAACAACAATAACAAGTTTGGAAACACGATGTTTTCGATCCGATGAACAGAACATCTTCAGCTGTAAAGCTTTATGCACAAAGATGGCCCATCAAAAATAATTGCTTTATCAAACTGAATGTATAACAAGCCTTTTGATGAAATTTAAAATAAACTTTATTTTATTGCATCTTTATATGATTTTTTTTTAATATAAAAACAAAACTGACTTTCTGAAGTCCTCTGTATCTGGACATGAATCAAATAATTCTGCCAACTTCTCTATCCGAGTCTGCAGGTTTGATTTTCCTTTCAGAATTATTTATGAGAAGAAAAGGTAAGTCATAGAACAGACTGAAATGTATTTCAAAATAAATACAGTTTGTAGCAGACTATTTAATGTAAATAGAATTAGAACAGCAGCTGATGGAACAATAACAGAATGCCCAATGTCATAATGATTCATTTGTTTAAACATTATTCCTAATTTTTCTGTTAAGCTGGTTTCTAAAGCCTATAATATATAATATATAAAATGTTAATTGTTTTTAAGGAAATTCTCCCAACAATAAAATTAAAGCAATAAGTTTAAATTAGTAGTAAAATAAAAAACATATATATAAAATTATAAATACACACAGTAATTTTCCAGGAGACAGTTCTGTACAGGCAATTTTTATGACTGTAATAAGTAAATTCTTCTAAACATTACATAAAGAGTATCAGACATAACTCTTTGTGCTTAAATATACAAATAGTTATGTCATCTAATTTGTTTTTTAAAATATAAAATATCTAGTTAAAGGCAAACGACTGCTGGATTAGATCAGACTATATATTACTGCTACTATTAATAATTAAACGCTCAGTAATTTTACTTAGAAATAGGTATTTGACACCATCTCTTGTTAAATCTAATCTGGCAATCATTGGCTTTAATATAACTATTGGGTTTACAGATATTTATATTTATACTCAGTTAAAAATTTAGAAACTACAGAATCACTATAATTTTGGGTGAAAACTAAACTGAAGAACTGAACATATGTATGTAAATACATTTCAAGCAAGTATTTTGTATTTGAAAACTGACATTTATAGATATTATATCAGAACCGAATCAAACAAAAATAAAAAGACAATTTGAAAATGAAAGATATTTAAGTCAACAAATATTGAATCTTTAAACTGAAAAATCATATTAGAAGAAACAAAATTCAACATTAATTAAAACGATATTCAATTTTAATTCAATGGTTAAACTGCTAGTTTTAGACAGCCTCAGCATTTGACTCCAAGACCAAATTTTGTTAGACTTTAAGGGTCTCAGAGATACAGTTATGAAGATATGTAAAAAGAAATATATAGTTAAGAAATCATAAAGTGTACTTAGACAAATCTTGTATAAATCTTGTATAAATCTTAGACAAATCTTGTAGACAAATCAGGGCTTCTTAAAATTTTTTTATTTACGACCCCATTTATGATTGTGATTTTTTTTGCGACCCAAAAATATATAAGATATACAGTATACAAATTTGCAAAAACAATAATGGTATACTACCACAGCTCACTCTTGTGTTACAATGGAACAGAGACAACTAAATACACTGAAAAGTGACAATACTACACTAGTTCACACTACAATCAGTGTTGCTGAATAGTTGTCTCACTGCACCAGAAGTGACACAAAGTGCAACTCACGAAACCTATGACACAAAGAGCGCCATTTTCAAACTCTCAAAAATTATTTTCAATATTTTGCATTAAAATCTCGCAACCCCAAATGGGTTCGCAACCCATAGTTTAAGAATCCCTGTTGTATAGTATAGTCTACTACTCACATAAGCTATATCTACAGGCTGACCATAATTTCTTGATGTCAAAACAGACTTATAATATTAAAATTTCAAGAAATATAAATGAGTGTCATTAACAATTTGTTAGTCCATTTTTAGTGATATTGATTTGGTGGCATAAGAAAGTGCATATAAATTTTCTCTAAAGGATTTTTTTGAAAATCTAGTAATGAGAAAACGTTATTTTTATTACAGTATGATATCAAATTTAATAGTTAGTTTAATGTAGAAGGTTTTCCAGAGTCAAAACAAGCATATTTTTCTAATGAACTAATTTTATTTAATAAATTATGGTCGCTTGCAATTTTATCGTAAAATTTATCAAATCATAAATTAACAATTTTGCTTTATCATTAACATTGCTTTTGTGGCTTCAATATTTAATCTTAATTTTAAGAATAGTTAAAACTAATTTGAAACAGCTGCATTGTTATTTGTGACTCAGCTGCTTTGTTGAAAATGACTAAATCATGAATAATAATGTACAATGATTATAAACCAATTTTGACTATACTTAAAATGATTTTAGTTAAAGGAGTTTTGGACAACTTTGTATATAGTTGGTTTATCATTAAAAGTCATTCATTAAATATAATAGTTAATTTTTTATATAGTAAAAGTCTTCTAATCTTTACCCAATGATATATTTGAGGCTCACTGAGACTCTGTTCTGTTGAATGGAAATGTTTATATCACCAGTATGACCTTGGAAAAAGAAAAACTCGAGAGTCCAAATTTAGTAAAAAAAATAAGTAAATAAATTATAAATAAGAGTCAAAGATATAAATGCAATAAAATACATATAGAATAATGATGTTTTTATACAATAATGTATGTTAGTTTGAAGTATCCTTAAAGTATTAAGAGCAAATGAAGAGAGGCGTAACAATGAATAGGAAAAAGAGCACACTATTTATATTGCATTAAATTGCAATGGGGTGTTTGTGTGTATATATATGTGTGTGTGTGTGTGTATAGTATATATATATAATTATAATATAACCAATTCAAGAATTAATTTAAATATCAAATGAACAAAATAAGCAATTACCATTAAACCAGCAATTAATTGTCGTTTAAACATTTTCTCCCGTTCTAAACAGTCATCGTCAGGTTCTGAAGGAATGTTTGTAAAAGAACATAAATTCCAAAATTTAAAAACTTACACATCATAAAGATATGCGCATGCTTAATGACACGTTTAAAAAATTAGTCTTCCAGCTAGATTCCAGTTTTAAAATATTAATTTTATAAAAATGTATAGAAAAAGAAACTTGGCAAGGATCTATTTTATGTCAAAGCACGCAAAGTCAACCTGGACATCTAACGATGTCCAGGTTGACTTTGACAATGCCTGGCTACTGTAACGGTGCAAAGACCTGGCCAACCTCAAATATCTCGAACAACTGGATATATTTAAAGCATTTAAGAGGGGAACAGCAATTAATTTTAAGGACATGGACTCATTAGAAGCTGCCTGGTGGGCGTGCTTTGACATATGATAGATCTTCATCAAGTTTGTTTTTATATATTTTTATAAACTTAATATTTTAAAACTGGAATTCAGCTGGAAGACTAATTTTTTAAATGCATCATTGAGCATGCACATATCTTCACGATGTGCAACTTTTAAAATTTTGGCTTTTACATTCTTTTACAAACATTCCATCAAAACCTGACAATGACCATTTAAAACGAAAGAAAACATTTGTTTAAATAACAATTAATTGCTGGTTTAATGGTAATTGCTTATTTTTATTTAATTATATACCAGTAGAATCATGGTGATTGTATTAAATGAACAACCAGATTCCTAGCCAGAAGTGAAAAATAGAGAGAGATCAGGGTAGCATAAGTGGCAATGTCTACAAGGTAAAAAGTTGAAGGTTTGAATTCTATGCTAACCTTTTCCTCTGGAATATTCTAAAATTTAAGTTATTTACTTCTAATTATTAAATTTAACAAGAGATGTAACCTAAACACCCACCTGATGCCAAATTAATTGGCAATTATTTACCCTGAACAGCCCAAAAAATAATTCTGGCTGTTTGTTTGATGTTTAACATGTAACAAAGAA